CAGACGTTACCGTTACAGTCTGTTTACCTGCTGCAGACGTTACAGTCTGTTTACCCGCTGCAGACGTTACCGTTACAGTCTGTTTACATGCAGACGTTACAGTCTGTTTACCCGCTGCAGACGTTACAGTCTGTTTACCTGCTGCAGACGTTACAGTCTGTTTACCCGCTGCAGACGTTACCGTTACAGTCTGTTTACCTGCAGACGTTACAGCCTGTTTACCCGCTGCAGACGTTACAGTCTGTTTACCTGCAGACGTTACAGCCTGTTTACCTGCAGACGTTACAGCCTGTTTACCTGCTGCAGACGTTACAGCCTGTTTACCTGCTGCAGACGCTGGCACATGAATCACTGTTGTGGTTTTTATTTATATGTAATCTGTCTGAGTGTGCAGACTGTCTGATACCTCTGTCTCCATTTCAAAGCCGGGGGGGGTGGTGTTATCATCGACCCACAGAGGGGGGAGGGGAGGATATAGATGATTGGGGTGGGGGAGGGACAGAGCTGAGTCCCCCCCTTCCCTGTCATTATATGTCCCCCACAGAGGGAATAAAGCCTGATATACACACCACAAACCAGCTGTGCCCCACTTCCTCCAACACACACACACAGACACACAGACACACAGACACACGCACACACGCACGCACACGCACACGCACACACACACACACAGACACACAGACACACAGACGCACGCACGCACGCACGCACGCACGCACGCACGCACGCACGCACGCACGCACGCACGCACGCACGCACGCACGCACGCACGCACGCACGCACGCACGCACGCACGCACGCACGCACGCACGCACGCTTTTTTTTAAATCATTACGTCTATTTCATAAGACAGGTGTGTAGGAGAGGAGCAAACAATCTCCTGCACACTGAAGTGCACTACGCTGGAGTCTGTAACGTTTGAGGAGCCAAGTCACTTCTTCTGGGCTCGTTTCCATCGACCTGGTCGCTTGTTTCTCTCGTCAGATCTGGCAACCCTCACAAAGATTCCTAAAGTTTCTGCACTCCGAGCCACAGATATGATTTGTTTGTGTACTGACAATCCTGTTAAACCCGGCCTTTACATTACCCACAATGCATCTCTCCCTCTGACAGCTGTGGTGCAGATGTAGACTGAAGCAGAGAGAAGCAGCTGGAAACAGAGCTTTTATTCTGAAGCCCTTTTTCACATTTCAGGCTCACTGCCCTTGAAGGGTTCTCTCTCACTCGGCCATGTTGCTCCGTACCGACACACGATTGTCCCCCCTCCCCAGTACCCCCCCCCCCCCCCCACCGCTGGCCTGCTGCGCTCGCACTGCTACAGACCGGGCCGGGGGTGATCACAGTTACCTCTTGTTCATACGTCATGATGACGTTGTGAGCGCGGCCTCAGAGTCGGCACAATGAAGAACACAGAGAATTGAACTGTCACTTTAGCTTTAGTGGCTTATTTCAAATCACTCTTGGATTTCTCGATCGTTTATACATCATCTCTACAATTCTATTCTACAATTCACTTAGCAGACGCTTTTCTCCAAAGCGACGTACATCAGAGAGTAAGAACAACACAAGCAAGGATCTAGAAAAAAGGGAACAATGTGAGTAAGAGCAAACGATCAGCTTTGAGTCTGATTGGACACACAGGTGCTGACAGGAAGTGACCAGAGGCAAAGCACAACATTGAGGGCAGTTCTTGAGAGCTCTAATCAGTATAGAAACCATCTTATAAGTCGTGGTTATCGAACAAAAACCATCGTCATTACCATCATCATCATCATCAATAATATGGAGACCATCATCATTAAGTTAGTAGGTATTCATAAAGAGCTGGTCTTTAGCTTTTTCTTAAAGGTGCAGAGGGACTCCACATTACATACCTGTGCTTGAGCCACCGTACAAAGATGCTGCTTGAACACAGTACAGACTGCCAGGTGTGAGTGCGCCAAAAATCTTTCAGAGTTGGCGTGTCAGACGGGAGACGGGTATCAGGAGGCAAGACATGACGTAAAAAGAATAATGAGGAAGTAGCGGACGAAGCATAATGAGAAATAGAGAACCGAGAACCACGCACTTTTGGACAGACGGGGGGACTTGTTGTGTCAGCTGAACTTATTCTGTGACCTCAGAGGTCAACCTGAAGAAGGTGCAATAGTCACCAGCTGGAAGAGGACGTATCGCCACCTACTGAAGTGGATTCTCCCTCTGTGCTTCTATACTGGGAGGAGGACAGCAGTCCAATCAAATGGCCTAATTCAGCTCAAACTGTAGCTCAACTTAAAGGTGGAGTCAGCAGCATTGCTCGTTGCAGCTTCTTAACAGTAAACACAACTTTCAAACTGGGCCCCTCCTCCTGGGCTCATCACCCCTGCAGGATGTAGTCTGCAGTTTACTGCTTGTACCTACACTGCAAGCTAATGCACGCTAGCACAAGCTAACGGTCGGTGTTTGTCACCTTCCTGTCCAACAGGAAGTAGATCAACTCCACGTCCACGGGTAAAAGACAACACAAGGTTCACCCTCGTTTTAGAACGAGCTTTATCCACTTGGTGTTTCACTGAATTGTATCCACTCCTAAACTCACCTGCTGCGCTCTCATTGGCTGGAGGAAACACATCAGCTCCGCCCACAAACGTCTCGAGTCAACCAGAACAAAAATCCAGTGAGAGGACAGAGTCTCTGCAGACACAGTCACCACCACACATGTACGGAGGCCCAGAAGGGACAATGGAGCAGCTTCACTTTAGGAGAAGATGTATTTTATTTTGAAGGAGAAAGCTGCATTTTATTTTGAAGGAGAAGTCTGTATTTTATTCTGAAGGAACAGAACAGAATCTGTAACTGTGCATGTAAACGTATTAACTGAATCAGTCTTTATGACCTCACCTGAAGATCACCTGTCTAACCAACATGGCCTCTGATGGATCTGTCTGTTCTAATGATTATTATTGATCTCAGCAGGACCAGTACCAACATCCCGTTCAGTCTGAGGTCTCAACACACCTGTAAGCTGAAGCTGACTTTCTGGATTAAAGAGCGACCACACAGCTGGAGGAGGAGCGTGTGTGACATGTAGGTCGTCTGTGCAGGGGAGAGGTTTAAACACGGTGTGCTGCTGCCTCCACAGGCGGGAGATTAAAGGGGGGAGACAGGTGAGGGGACAGGTGAGTGTGTGCAGGTGCTGGAATAAATCAGGATGTGAGTCTGATAGAGATATAACTCAGTGTGACTTTCACTTCCTGATGATCTCAAGTCCAGAAAGTCAAGCGTACGATTTCAGTTGTGTTGCCTCAACAAAGCATCTGTCACTCCAAATTAGTCAGCCAATCATGCCCCTGGACCCCCCACCTCTAAGTCCTCCTGCCCCCGGACCCCCCACCTCTAAGTCCTCCTGCCCCCGGACCCCCCACCTCCTCCATGACTTGCTCGAGCTGCATTCAAGACACTAAAACTTAACAAGGAGCTTGAGGTGTGTAAAGAAAATGAACGGTATGTTGACGTCAGAAAGTTTGGTGACATGAACTGACACATCCAGCGTTATATCCAACGATGTTCCCGACTCAACACACTTTTACCCGACTCCTCTCAGGTAGCTAACGTTGACGTTGTTAGCAGGTGAAACTATCAGGGTGGAATCCTGAATGATCGTCACAGTAGAGGTTTATCCTCTTCACTTATCTTTCAGAGTGCACAAGATTGATGCATTCAACTTTGAAATGTACACATTTTTCTCCCTGGGGGGGACATGCCCCTGGACCCCCCCCATCATGAAGTCTCATAAGATCCCGTGGGAAACGCTGATATCCTGTTTGATCATTAAAGATAAAACGCCCTGTTATTTGAATCTGACTTCAGGGTATTTCAACCTTTACAAAACCGTGATTTAAAAAGAATCTGACAGTGAATCTGACATACATAACCACGCCCATTGCGATGACGTCACAGCAACGATGCCTCACGGGCTGTTGACAAACTTTCGCATTAGGCATACAGAACCCCCCCCCCTCCACACACACACACACACACACACACACACACACACACACACACACATCTGATCGCATCTATGATTTCGACAGATTACTCGACCTTTACCAGATCCACCTGTTCCAGACAGGTGCATATGACGTCATAGAAAATCAGGGTGAGCTGTGGAAGGTCACTGCGGTTGCTCTGATGGTTGTTAGCTTGTCTGCTCTCAACTGTGAGGTGTTGCACCTTTTTTATCTAAACGGAAAACAGTTTAAGAGTGAGAGCAGAGACGCAGATCAGCTAACTGCGCATGCTCAGAGATAAACAGGTGACAAACATCACACACGTCAATAAGTAAAAGGAAGAATTATCTGAGAGGGGAAATGTGTCCCAACATCTGTGACAGCTGCAGCTGCCAGCAGCCTCCCGACTGCCTGCTGCAACTATTTCAACCAACACAGCCAAGTCCCATAAAGAGTCACACCAAACCTCAGTCAGAAATCTGCCACTTTAGCACGGCTTCAATCAACGATGCGTTCAACTCATGCAACATTCACTTAATCTTTTACAACACGATCTACTCATCACATCGGCGCAAAGTGAGCCAATTACGTTCTAAAAGTGAAATATTAAATGTATTTCTGATCTAACGGGTGTTTTCACATCTCACCCTGCCATTGAGGGCGGTGTCGAGCTACCCGACCACTTCTCAAGGGTTAGCTTCAATCTTTTGCTAATATTATGAATTTAGGAGGGCTGTATTAGCGCCGAATTTACCCGAAGACCAGAAGGATTCAAAAATAATCCTTAGCCACTTTAAAACAGAAACGTAAGTTCACCAGGAAGCGTTAATGTTTTAAACGCCGGATGTTTGAATGGAGTTTGGTGTGACCTTACCTCAAAGACAGGCGCCGTGCAGCAGCAGCAGCCCGCTGAGCGGACTGAACTTGAAAAAGCTTCAGATCGTTTCCATAATCACAGCAGGTCAAACTAGCTACAAGCTGCTTCTTCTCCAGGTGAGCACGTCTTACCTGACTCTCGGGTTATGGTCGCCGGGAGCGGGCTGCGGTTGCCATTTTAAAGCGGTTTACTTTCCAGCCAAAAATGACATCGATCCGGTCAAAGTAAAGATTCCCGATCCGTTATGGTATCAAAATAAAGATAAACAGTGTCCAGTCTCCGGTTCGGACGGTACTCCTCACATTCAGACGGTAGAACCGGACCCCCGCCTCCGTTAACTGGTGAAACAATGCAGTCCGCTGTACGAGGCGGCTCCGGCTCTGGGACCCGGTCTCGGTCTCCGGCGAGGCTCTGGGCTTTGCGTCAGCCTCTCCTCGGCAGCGGCATGACGTCAAGTCAGACGTAACGACAACATTCCGCGTCCGGTTAGCGTTTCAAAATAAGACACAAATAAACTACAGCGTCTCAAAAAAAAGTTATTAAAACTAATAAAAGGAGATAATGACGCTAAAATAATTTACAGCAGTTCTAAAAACAATTTAGATTAATTCAAATGACCCCTTGTGTTGGCGTATTAAGTTTTGTTTATTGTTTTATTTTCGGTCTTTTCTTTTTCTCATGTTGAATTGCTAAATTAATCTTTCACTTGTAACACATTTTATTTTTCCTTTATGATTGAGTTAGAAAATGCTACTGAGCCCCTGAAGGACCAAAAAGTAAAGAATTACAATAAATATCTTGTGTGCACAAAAGGCTCTATATTTTTTTATGTATTGCAAAATAATGTTTGGAATCGCAACAATATTGAATCGTGACTCAAGTATCGTGATATAACTAAACTTTGGCACAGCATTTAGGAGCTGCAACAAAACGTGACTTCTTTAATGAACTACAAAAAAACAAGTTACAGCTGTGGCTTCAAGATGACTCTACACCTGGAGATATATGAAATGTGATTGAGCTGATAAAAACTCTCGTGTTGTTTTTGTAAAGGTGCCATTTCTTTCAATGCTATGCAAAGTTAAATGCGACTGTTGTTGATAAATAATGGGCTGAAAAGTATAGAACTGAGGGACGTGGAGAGTAAAACCAGTGACATTTTAATATATTTTTAATAATTTAATTTGTATTCATTTGAAGAGGGATGGTTTTGTACCCGAGTTAGTCGAAGTACTTCCGGTAAGCCTGTCCGCCTTGACTGAGCTTCAGCAGCAGAAAGAAAAGAGAGCAGACAGCGACACCTGGTGGACAAAGCCTTCATCACCCTGAGAAGCTCTGAGGTCAGTGAAGATAAAACCACCACAGAAGAAGAGTGAACATTTAGCTCCAGAACAAAGATTCAATAATAATTTACCCTGCAGAGTTTAATACAGGTTTTTTTAACCCTTACATGGTTTCTGTATCTGTAACGTCTGGAGGATTCAGACGTTTGACAGGCTGTGGGGTGGCGAGGCATTCAGTGGGTGCAGTTAATGACAAACACTGAAGGGAGGGTTGGGGTCAAACACTCAGGTCATGTGACTTCACGCCATCATTTAAACAGATACTAATGTAAATGAGCTGTGTCTGACCACGCCCCCTCTCTTGGGTGTACTCGGTCTTTCTCGCTCCATGTCCTATTGTTTACGGTGAGAAGGCAGACTCAGAGGGCAGAACAAACGCCTAGCTGTGGGAGTGTCACCCACCTGGGGGAGGGGCTACTGCCCTTTGTGATGTCATGAAGGGAAAATCTCCAAATGGCCTGATTGAGCACACATTCCTCTACTCCCTCTTCACACATTCCTCTACTCCCTCTTCACCCACGACTGCAGACCTGTACATGGATCCAACACCATCATCAAGTTTGCAGACGATACAGCGGTGATTGGCCTCATCAGCAACAACGATGACACGGCCTACAGGGAGGAGGTACAGCATCTGGCCGCCTGGTGTGCTGACAACAACCTGCTCCTCAACACCAGCAAGACGAAGGAGATCATCGTGGACTTCAGGAGAGAAAGAGGAAGCACGCACAACCCCATTCACATCAACGGGATGGCTGTTGAACGTGTCTCCAGCTTCAAGTTCCTGGGGACCACATCACAGAGGACCTCTCCTGGTCCACTAACACCTCCAGTCTGGTTAAGAAGGCTCATCAACGCCTCTTTTTCCTGAGGACACTGAAGAGACACCACCTGTCTTCAGCTGTACTGATGAACTTCTACCGCTGTGTGATCGAGAGCATCCTGACCAGCAGTGTCTCAGTCTGGTACGGAAACTGCTCTGTCGCAGACCGTAAGGCGCTACAGCGGGTGGTAAAACCCGCCCAGCGCATCACAAGGTGTCCACTTCCTGCCATTGAGGATGTCCAAAGAAAACGCTGTCTGCGGCGAGCTCATGGCATCCTTAAAGACTCCTCCCACCCTGCCCACAGACTGTTTACCCTCCTGCCCTCCGGCAGGCGCTTCAGAAGCCTCCGGACCAGAACCAGCAGACTGAGGAACAGCTTTTTCCCCAGAGCTGTTTCTCTACTGAACTCTACCCCCCGAACTCTGAACTCTGTCTCTCTCTCTCTCTATATCCGAACTCTGTATTCTGTCTCTCTCTCTCTCTGTATTCGAACTCTGTATTCTGTCTCTCTCTCTCTCTCCCTCTCTCTCTCCGCACCCTGCTGACCCCCCTTTCCCCTCCATATCACCTCACACCCATCATCCCCCCACCTCTCCTCCTGGTCACACACACACATCTCTCATCCATCTGTATTATTATATCATAGTATGTTCATATTCTTTAAATTATCTGTAAACTAGTATAACATGCTCACTGCATCTTAATCTGTATATTATTAGTATAGCATGCTCACTGCATCTTAATCTGTATATTATTAGTATAGCATGCTCACTGCATCTTAATCTGTATATTATTAGTATAGCATGCTCACTGCATCTTAATCTGTATATTATTAGTATAGCATGCTCACTGCACCTTAATCTGTATATTATTAGTATAGCATGCTCACTGCACCTTAATCTGTATATTATTAGTATAACATGCTCACTGCATCTTATTCTGTATATTATTAGTATAGCATGCTCACTGCATCTTATTCTGTATATTATTAGTATAGCATGCTCACTGCATCTTATTCTGTATATTATTAGTATAGCATGCTCACTGCATCTTATCTGTATATTATTAGTATAGCATGCTCACTGCACCTTAATCTGTATATTATTAGTATAACATGCTCACTGCATCTTAATCTGTATATTATTAGTATAGCATGCTCACTGCATCTTAATCTGTATATTATTAGTATAGCATGCTCACTGCATCTTAATCTGTATATTATTAGTATAGCATGCTCACTGCATCTTAATCTGTATATTATTAGTATAGCATGCTCACTGCACCTTAATCTGTATATTATTAGTATAGATGCTCACTGCATCTTAATCTGTATATTATAATCCTAAGAACACACTTATTTTGTAGCATTACTTATTTATAGCATTTATTTATTTTTATTGCATCCCATTAATCCAGCCATCCAGATTTACCTCATAATTCACTTTTTTTGGCTACATCTGTAAATTTTGCAATTACTGTACATAGCACAGAATTACTGTACATAGCACAGACTCTTGCACTCAATTACTGTACATAGCACAGACTATTGCACTTTCTGCTTATTTGCACTTCTGGTGAGATGCCAAACCTCATTTCGTTACTCTATACTTGTATATGTGTAATGACAATAAAGTTGAATCTCATCTCATCTCATCACATTTTCTGAAAAGTGGAGCAGGCAGAAGACGGAGAGGATGGACTTTTCTCATCATTGGGGGGTTTGTAGACGGACTATGGATCAGCACCCTGCGACCCTGAACAGGAGTGGTATAGATGCTGGATGGATGTTGGAGGGATACTGTAGGTTATAAAGGTCGTCTATCACGGGATATTAAACCAATTTTAAAACCTGAAACTGTCACTATCGACAGAGAGGGCAGAAAAAAATTAGCCATTTTCTTACAATAAAAGAAGATTATTTTCCTTTATTCATCCTCCTGTCAACATTATCCAGCTTTGAATCTGAACGTGTTCCTCAGAAACAAAACATTGCTTTCAAAGACACAACAGGAAGTCAAATACAAACAGGTCTGTTTTACTGTTAAAGTCTAAAGTGCTCTAATGGAGAAGTGTATGATTTCAATGATTGTACGATTCATTAAAAACCTGATCATCGTAAGGCTTCAGTAACATGACAGGATGAGTTAGAACAAGAAACACATGTTAGACTGAATATGAAACATAGATCGGATGTTTTGACCACCTATGAATCTTAAATCTTTAAAGGTAGAGTCAGCAGCTTTCTCCTTCAAAATAAAATACAGACTTCTCCTTCAAAATAAAAGACAGACTTCTCCTAAAGTGAAGCTGCTCCATTGTCTGACTGGATTTTACTGTTCTGCTTTGTTCTGGTTGACTCGGGACGTTTCTAGGCGGAGCTGGTGTGTTTCCTCCAGCCAATGACAGCACAGCAGGTGAGTTTAGGAATGAATTAAAACCGGTGAATAAGACGGACGTGGACAATAGGTGTTGTCTGAACAAACAGTTCTTGGGACTTTTTGAAGAGGAACTATCCACGTTCCCTGAGAACTTTACACTTTAGGGAGCTCTGCATTCACACCACCATGTTACCTACTCTGAAGCAGGAGCTGAAGAGGTTCCTCTAAACGGGGCTCTAGGAAATAAAATAGTTCTTAGTTCCTGAGGTGCGGAATCGATAAAAAAGGGGGAAGGGTCCAACAGTTCCTAGAACCATGAAAAAGTTCCTGCGGTTCCTGCAGGGGGCGGAGCTTCTGAGCCCAGGAGGAGGGGCCCAGTTTGAATGTTTTGTTTACATTTCTACTGACTCCACCTTTAACTTTCACAGGAGGATTTCTCACAGCTATAACTGTTTCTCATAAATATGACCTTACTATATTATATAATACTGTCTTATCATTACAAGAGAAAAAAACATTTAATAAGAATGACTTCCATGTTTCACGATCATATGAAATCATTCTCTCTTAATTACAATCAAAGATCCCGTATGAGACGTAAACCTGATCAATACAAACACTACGTGAATGTGTAGACGGATAAATGAAAACTATTCCTCTTGTTCCCGTGCAGCTTAGTGACGCTTTGATTCCTGAAATACTGACAAATCTCACCGATGAGATTTAGGCACAAGACGTTTCCTTCCTCTCCATCGTGCAGAAACACTTTTCAGAATGTTCCCCTCTTATTCCTGACAATTTAAACAACGCAACATTTAATACAAAACATTCTCCTTACAGTGCAGAAAACCGATGACGAACAAGACATCCATCTTGTCATTGTGAGAAATTTGACTTAAAAAGCAATCTTGTAAACACCTGTGTGTTACGTTTAATTTGATGTTAATTATGACTTTATTAAAGGTCACATATTCTCCTCCTCTTCTTCAGTGTAAATAAGTCTCAGAGCTCCTCAAAACATGTGTGTGAAGTTTCTTGTTCTAAATCCACTCTGATCCTGTATTTGATCATGTCTATAAACCCCTCTATTTCAGCCCTGCTCAGAACAGGCTGTTTCTGTGTCTGTACCTTTAAATATGTAAATGAGCTGTGTCTGACCACGCCCCCTCTCTGGAAGGGCTTGGCTGTACTCGGTCTTTCTCGCTCCATGTCCTATTGTTTACGGTGAGAAGGCAGACTCAGAGGGCAGAACAAACACCTAGCTGTGGGAGTGTCACCCACCTGGGGGAGGGGCTACTGCCCTTTGTGATGTCATGAAGGGAAAATCTCCAAACGGCCTGTTTGAGCACACATTTTCTGAAAAGTGGAGCAGGCAGAAGACGGAGAGGATGGACTTTTCTCATCATTGGGGGGTTTGTAGACTGACTAGAGACACATGTTAGAGTTAGAGGAACATGGGGAAGAGGATTTTACAGAATATGTGACCTTTAAATGAAACACAATAAAGTATAAAAAATAAGAAAGTCATAATCATGATGGCTGCTCTCACACTTACTTTTTCAAGTCTTAATATTAATCTAATGGTGCTTCGAAAAAAGTTAAATTCTTGAGATTCAAATCTACAGAAGGTCGAAGCTATTGTGCATCAAAACATTTGTTTTAAGTCAGTTTTCCCGTGATGAGTAAATTACTGTAATTTCCACCGTGTTCTCAGGATATCGTAAATTAGCTCGTTTGAGGAATCATCAAAACGCAGCGTGTCTCCATAACACGCTGATAACACATTTGACGAGTGGAAATGCCTTCACAATAAATCAAAACTTTACAATCTGTTATTAGAGCTCTTCCTTTGGAGGAGTTGTTGTTCGTTTCCATGGCAACTGTCGTCCACATAAAAACCTCAGTTTCTGCTCCTTCTCTTTCAAGTTCATCAAACATTTGATTGATGTAAGTTTCCTTTAAGCGTTGCAGTCTCGGAGCGAGCGACAAAAACAAACATCACAGCTGTCCTTTGCAGCTGTCAGCATCTGGACAGAGTGTCCTCAACGTGTCGTCGGTCTGCCTTTGTGTCTTCAGATTGTCCTCAGGTGACCTCGGTTCCCTTAAAGTGTGTTTGTGTCCTCAGATTGTCTTCAGTGAGTCCCTACAGTGTTCCAGTCCTCATTGTGTCCTCACATTGTCACTTGATGTCCTCATTTTGTCCTTCTTGAGTCTTTTGTGTGTTTTTGTCCTCAGTCTGAAAGTGTCTTTTTGTATTGTTTTGTCATGAGTGTGTTTTTGTCTTCAGAGTGTCATCAATGTGTTTTTAGAGTCTGAGCTCTCAGTGTGAAATAAATGTTTCCTTATTGTGTTTTTAGTCTTCATTGTGGTTCTTTGTCCTCATTATGTCCCTAGTGAGTCCTAAATGTGTCTCCAGTGCATGTGTGTCCCTAAAGGATCCTCATTGTGTCCTAAGGCCCTCGAGTGTTTTATGTTCTCAGTGTGTTTCTGGTTGTCCTTTGAGTGTTTGAGTCATCGTAGAGTCCTCAGAGTACTTATTGTCTTTAGAGTATTCATGTCCTCAGCGTCTCCTCAAAGTCTCCTCAGCGTCTCCTCAGCGTCTCCTCAGCGTCTCCTCAGCGTCTCCTCAGCGTCTCCTCAGTGTCTCCTCAGCGTGCAGTGAGAAGTCCTCACAGTGTGTCTCTGATTGACCTGTACACGTGTCAAAGTGTTTTCTCTGATGGACAGCGTCTCCGTCTCTACACCTCTTTCTCGTCTTTTCCCTGAAACGACGTCCGTCTCAGGTTTTCCTTCACTTTGACGAACTCTGGAGCTTTCATGTTCTCTTCCTGCTCCTTCTCCTGTTGTTTCTCCATCTGAAACGAGAAAGAGAGACAAACTCAGGAAGACGGAGAGACGACAATCACACTTTGTTTTTAAGGTTTCTCTGTGTGTGTGTGTGTGTGTGTGTGTGTGTGTGTGTGTGTGTACCTCCTCCAGTTTCTTGTGTCTCTTCTGCAGTTCGGCCTCCAGAGGAGAAATCTTCTTGCGAGCTTCGTCTTCCTGTTTCCTCTGTTTGATGATCTGATCTCGTTTCCTCGACTCCAGAACTCTCTGCAGCTCTGGCTTCGTCTCCACCGTACTCGACCCGCCGCTGAATGAACACACACGACATACGTTAAACGTTCGGCACATCAACATTATGTAAGAAAGAATCAGCCTGACTGAAGAGTCATAATGCTCTAAAACATTTTGGAAATCGGAAATCAGGGAGAGAGAGAGACAAAGAGAGAGAGACAGAGAGAGAGAGCAAGACAGACAGAGAGAGAGAGAGAGAGACAGAGAGAGAGAGACAGAGAGAGAGACAGAGAGAGAGAGACAGAGAGAGAGAGAGAGAGAGAGAGAGAGAGAGACAGAGAGAGAGAGACAGAGAGAGAGACAGAGAGAGAGAGAGAGCAAGACAGACAGAGAGAGAGAGAGAGAGAGAGAGAGACAGAGAGAGAGAGACAGAGAGAGAGTGAGACAGAGTGTTACAACACACTGTGTTTTATTTAAGATTCAATGATGAGTTTCTCTGTAGGCAAATTAATAAAACTGTGGGCGCTCTGAGCTCCTTCAGCAGACTGAGACATAAACCCTGCAAGGAAGTGTTTCAGGCCTTTGTGTGTGAGAAGTATGTCTCTCAGTAACAGAGTGTAAAACAGATAATGTGTTGTAATCTGTGTTTCTGCCAGCAGAGGGCAGACTCCTACAGCTCAAATGTTTCTGCAGCAGCTGATTGAAATCCAAACTGTCCCTTTACAAAAATAAAAAGCCCCGTTTAATCAACTTGTACATCACATTAAAGAGAGCGGCAAATAGTGCAGAAACTCACAGATGAAAAGATGTAAATTCACTGGAAGACTTTCAGGATTTTACGATTTAACGTCTGAAATGTTTCCTTTTTTGAGTTTATGTGGGTGTAAAATCTGCAGGAGAGAAATTTAACTCAGAGTAGGCTACATGAGTTTGGCTTTTTTGTTTTCAGGCTTTTTTTCAGCAGAACAGAATCTTCTACTTTTTCATTCACAGAAACTTTCTCTAGTTTTTTCCACAAAACTATCTCCACTCATGTCCTCCTGCCGCCTGAGTGATGAAGAGCTCTTGATGCTCGGTGTGTGTGTTTGTTTGTGTGATTTATTTGTTTGTTTCTTGGCCTCCTCCAGCCTCACTTTCCCTCCTGAATGTTAAAACCGAAGAGAAAAAGCCAACCTCGCTTTGCCTGTAGTGTTAAAGCTCTGAGTGTGAATGAGCGACTGTGTGAAGTTGATGTGGAAACTTTCCCAGCATCCTCGGCGCCACACTCCTGCGAGGTGTGAGGCTGTTGCTTAGCAGCGTCTGCTGGAGACTTCACACCGTCTGAGCTCGGCGGTGGAGACGAGGCAGACAGATGCAGAGTGGCCTGCAGGAAGTCCGATGAGTCTCTCTGAGATAGGTTGTCCCAAATGCTGCTCTCTGATTGGTCAGGAGGTCAAACGACAGCGTGTGGCAGTCAGCTGATGTTGCGTGATCTCAGACTGAAAAACATATTTTTATCCGGCGCTGCATCAAGAGATTAAAGTCGTTAACCCACAATAATCTGCTCATCTGAAACATGATGAGAGCGTTCCAGGATTCAGTCAGAGATGAAGTCAGAGAGGACAAACGGAGGCAGCAGCCGATTTACTTCTGTTAAAGTCGGGATGTCAAAACCTCATTTCACTACTCTTAAACTCTGGTTCTGTATTTTTACTGACAGTTAAAGGGACAAAAGGTTTATTATTGCTCCAGTAGATTGTTTCATCCGACTGGTTAATTCTGATATTTTTTTTATTATTTAAAGATCCAATCAGTGAGCTGTGTAGAGAGTGAGATGATAAAGGTATCTTACTCTCTGATCATTAAGGAAACATGCTATGTTGAAGTGCTGGCTTCTCTGACAACAATGCAGCAGCCAGTATGTCCTCCTTCTAACTTTAGATTCTGCTCCTGAATGCTCTGGATTTGTTTGGACCAGAGAAGGTAGGCGCTTTTAAGACACGCCCCCACACGGCCGTTTTGGACGCCCCTCGGTTTGTCAGATATGAGAGCAGTTATCAGGTCAACAGGTGTTGCAGTGATGGAAGCGGTCAAGAGAAGTGGTTCAGATAGAAGTGATTGTACCCGACCTAAAAAGCCTCTGCATGTTTCTAATAAGCTCCACGAGCAGAAACGTGCTCAAACTAGGATCAATATTGGAGATGCTTTTGAAAAATGGAGAGAGGTTAGAACACAGAAAGGTTTACAGACCCATGCAGAGCTGGATAAACACTGAAGCTTCAGAGTCCACCACATGGTGACCTGAGTGAGCATTCACTCTAGAGAGGAGGGTGCGGCTACAAGTCATAGAAACTCTACAATATGTATAAAGACCCAAAGTTTAAACCAGAATTAGTTTTTCAAATGTTTAATAACTGAACATGAACCTGGCTGAAGTACACGCCCCCTTATAAACATCCTGCAGTTCATGACGCCACACGCAGCTCTGTTACCGTTTGCAGCTGCTCATCAGCTCTCGGTGAAGCTCTTGGTGACTTTTTGACGCTTTCACAGGATTCACGAGTTTCTTGGGTTTGATGAGGTCTTCGTCCTCGTCTCCGTCCAGGTAGTCGGGCTGGGGGACGTAGCCGGACACCGGGGACGGCTTCCTGCCCTCAGGACGGTGCTGCTGCAGGTTTGCATACGCCGATGCTACAGACACAAAGACAGGGAGAAAAATCTTTAAACATTTAAAGAATGACACCGCTTACAAAAGCATCAGATATTTTTGTGCGTTTGGTGAACACTGAAGCTTCAGTGTTTAGCCAGCTCTCGAACAGACGGCTTTTGGTTAAGTAGCTTGGTCCTGCTCGAGATTTTTCTCTCTCATGGTGGATAAATGACGGGTCACTTTTAAGAATATAACAAACGGGGCGCTGGTGGCGCAGTGGTTGGTGCGTCCTGCAGGCGGGCGACTCGGGTTCAAATCCCACCTGTGGCTCCTTTCCTTCATGTCATTGCCCTCTCTCTCTCTCTCTCCCTGATTTCCAGCTCTATCCACTGTCCTGTGTCTCCATTAAAGGCCCAAAAATTAATAATTAAATCACCATCTCCTGCAGAGTCTGTTCCCGTCATGCTTCCCCCGCACCAAAAGAGAAATCTCCACGCTGTGAGGGTCATGCATGAACAGACGAGTCGGGGAGATTTTAGGGACAGATCGGAGTGCACGTGTGAAAACATCTTCAGATGATACAACAAAGAGTACAAGCTGGACCTGCTCTTTCTGTGTCATAACCAATGCTTCAGGGAGACTTGTAGGGAAGTCTTAACTGTCCCCGTTTGTCTGGGAGAAGAAAGGACAGATTAACGGGCATCTGATCCGAGTCCTCAGATATTCTGGGAGTCAGAGATCAGATGTCATACAGTTCACTCCACACAATGACCCCTTTCTCAAGTGCAACCGGAGACCGACATGACATGCCGCTGCGTCATATTTCACAAAAATGAAATGAGCGGTGGAGCGGCCTCCAGTCTGATGCGTTCAGGTACGCAGCGCTCCAGATGTTGATCCTGGCTGCAGAGACTTCAGACACCAGAGCATCAGTGAGGGGAAGGTTTTGATTCACTGTGCAAGACCAACAGCTTTACCTATGATGATATACAATCAATACACACCAGATACAACTAGTTCTTAAACTGTTTGTCTGTATACAAAGATCCTAAAAGCTCGAATGAGCACGAGTCATGCAAAGGATCCATACCAGGTCTCAGTCTGATGACCTGTTAGGATCAGGACCAGGTCTCAGTCTGATGACCTGTTAGGATCAGGACCAGGTCTCAGTCTGATGACCTGTTAGGATCAGGACCAGGTCCCAGTCTGATGACCTGTTAGGATCAGGACCAGGTCTCAGTCTGATGACCTGTTAGGATCAGTACCAGGTCCCAGTCTGATGACCTGTTAGGATCAGGACCAGGTCTCAGTCTGATGACCTGTTAGGATCAGGACCAGGTCCCAGTCTGATGACCTGTTAGCTCCAGTCGGGTTAGAGTCTTTTCTTTGCTTTTGATCCGATCAAACATTTGCAGCTCTTCTCTCTGGTGCTGCAGTTTTATTTTCATCTAAATTAAATCTGTGATTCTTCAATTCATTTCATCTCAGAGCTGATTGCAGGAAGTCTTGATGGACTCTGAGATTTTCTGTGGTTTTCGTATTGATTTCAGACAGGACGTGCAAACTGAGCCCTCTCTGTAGTCCATCGACGTCTCCGTGAGAGCCCCGTTATCTGGTTACAACTAGAAGCTGTGATTCTGCCTCAGTCTGATAACTGCAAGAGGAAGACTGTCTGCCTCCACCTCTGCCAGGAGGAAATGTGATCGTGTTACTCAGTAATGTCAGGAGATAATGTCTTTTCTGTTTCGTTCATTCATCCTGAAATAAAATCACAATGTAGATATCAAATCAAATCCAACCTGCTGCAGAGAATCTGATACCAAAAAGCCTTTTGATGACTTGTACCGTCATAGAAATGTAATATATTCTCATCCTGCATGGTCTGATTGGACTCCAGGAACAGAACTTTTCCAACATTTATCAAGTTGCACCACCTCTTCATGATGCTGCTGTCATTCTTACGTTCAACATATCAACTTAAATTTTCTTTTGAGTGAAATCTGAACTAAAGCAGTATTAAAAAGAACAAACAGCTGAGTGGAGGTGATATTTAACTAAATAGATTTTTTTCTGTCAGTAAATCACAGATCACGTTGATAACTGTTCAAACACACAGAGGGTTAAAGTCTCTGCTCTCCTCTTACATAAACACTCGGGTCACTAAGTGACCTGTTGCAACATAAACTTGTGGGATGTTCTAACCGTGCAGCTATTGATCAGCTCTTAGAAAAACCATCCTGTTTGTTTTAGCGTTAAAAACACTAGAATATGGGACCAAAGCAGAACTGAGACCCTCTTCACACCTACCCTTCTTCTTATGTCACATAAAATATTTAAGATGTAAAAATCTCCTCCAGATTATTTTTGCGTTATTTTACAACAATAACCTCTAACAACT